GGTAGCTACGTGTTTCAAAGAAAATTGTACCTTCCAAATTATGTTAAGCCTATTTTTAACACATAGACCTTAGGAGCAAGGCTTCCACCTGTCAAGTCAACTCCCCTCTCCCTCAGAAGGTATTTTTGGTACTGAACTAAACGTTTGCATGTTGCATTTTGTGAGGTAAAATGAGCCTAAAGATGTAACGGTCCTTTCTATGTATAGTTTCACTGATATCTAGTCAATAAAACTTGCTCTACAGCCGAGGAATCATCTTAAGTAGAACTTAGAACTGCACATGCCCTGAATCTGACATTTTCCTTCAGACTTTATTTCTAAAGTAAATTGTTTTTATGTTATAACCACGTAGTAATTTTTATTGTATGATTCACAAAAAGATTAAAGTATATTGGGATGATTGAATTTTATGACATAGATTATGTTAGATAAAAATCATCCAGTTATTTTTTCATTTTTTCGATACATTCAGTAATTTTTTACCCAGCTCCATATGCCTATGACTATATTCCAGTTTCTTATAATTTCCAAGGGGTACACCTTTCATACCATACATACCACCCCCACCATGCTGCAGCGAATTTTCCTGTACTGTCACTATCTCCACCATGAAACATAGAACAAGAACACAAATGAAACCAGGAATCTTTTGCCATCATCAAAGCATCGTAAGCAATCATTGGTGCATCATGACCACTGGACCCACCCCAACCTGCATAACTCACAGATTTATAAAAAGCATCATGTTCAGGTATGTTACATGTCACTGTAAACTTTCGTTCACTGCTTGCATTGGTTAATCCCCGTAGTTCAAGATATGACTCCCAACTATTTTTAAAGTAGCCCCAAGACTTCTTGTTTTCTTCTACATCACTACCAACCTTTTCAATGTATTCCCAAACTTTGGGTAAAACACTTAAAAGTTCTGCTCCCCATTTTTTGGAGGTATCTTCTGTATAGCATAGGCTGTAAATAAAGCTGCAGTAACAGCCCCAAGATAAACTATAATTAAAATCATTATCTTTAAAGACTGCTGATTTTAGGTCACATTATGATGACCCTATTTACATAATAGCAACATTTTGATATGGATTATGGATTCAATGGCTGTAGTAGTGAAGATATTAAAGCAAGAAAAGCAATGGCATTTCAAACAGTTTTTAGAAGACAGAAATTTAGAAATGTGGAAAAGCGATAAAAAAGATGCATCAAAGATATGGTCATTAAAAGTGAGATATGTTAGAAGGATGGAGGCATTTGAGATGTGGTTGAGGAAAATGATGGATTGCATAGTTTTATGCAAAGTTGCAAACCTTACTAACCTTTTATTTCATTTATAAATTGATATTAGTGAAAAGGATATAAAACATTCATGGTCATGGCTTGATCAAGTAAGTAATCGAAGGAAGAGTTGAAGATTAAACATCTAAGAAAAGCAAAAAGATTGAAAAGCTAAATTACTATAAATGTTTGTCGAAATGAAAAGAAATACAGATAACAGGAAAACCTAGTAAACTGTATACTTAGCAACACTTGTTGATAGACAAAACACTAGACATTAGTGAGTTGATAATTGAGACATGATCTGAAATCGTTGCTTTATTATGAAAGGTGAGTACCTGTGGAGTGATTATGAGTCATCCTTCCACTTTCAACAGCGATTTCAATTAACATTTCAATTTGATCCTCACAAGGAAACATCAAATCTATACACATGTATATCATACATAGATATAGTAGGTATGATATATTATTATTATTATCATGTTAATATTATTATTTGTTTTTCTTCTACAATGCCAATACAATTTTAACTAAGAATGTCTAATTTGCATCACATTGTTAACATACAACTAATGACTTGCGAGACAAAAACTGTATCATACTGCTCAGTTGGTTCATTTTATGACACCTATGTACAAAGATAAGTAAAGAAGACAAAAACTTAGGGATATTTCACCATTCAATGCATGAAATTTTACGTGTAAAGAAAATTGCCGTTCAGTTACAGTTTTCAGTTACATACGTGTACAGTAAAATATTTGTACACCAGTTCTCCAAACTCTACTCCGAGAGAATAGTTTGTAAAGGAGCGCCATCTAAGCGACAAAAGCTGACAAAACTCATCCTTTTTGGAAACCATTAAGACTGTGTCTGTTAAGTGCTTACACATAATTGAAGAATGAAAGAACGAATAGCATCTTGAAGTGAAATTTATGTAAAAAATATGAAGATTAATTTTCCCATCTTTTTGTATGTATTCAATATGATGTATTTCAACGTGGACGAACCAGTATGGGAGCTAAAGCAGACGAAATCCGTTTATTTTGGTAGACAAACGCCTCGAGACAACCAAACGACCAATTTACACAACATTTTGCAAGCGATATTTTCGCACGTATTCCAATAATAATTGTCCAATATGGCTTCAAAACATTATTAATAACCCTTTGTTTCAAATAAAACTTGATTGGAGGAGTTTGAAAACTCTGAAACGTAGTAAACTGCAAAAAACAACAATTGGCTAATAGTAGCCCCAAGTTTTTTGCCCGGTTCCCGCGCCATCTTGTATTTATCATAAATGTCACGCTGCCGTCTTAATAAGTCTTATATCACGTCCCACTCGTCAGCAATCTAGTTCTATTATATCTATGATATCATAGCTACACCACATCCTCCACCTCGTTCATTAAATGGTATAATGCAACTTTTTTCCTCTAGAGGTCGTAACATGAAACATGCCTTTGTTGTGGTCAGCCAGGAGCTCTTTCTCACATATCCTCAGCACATGTCTTCTTGTACTTTGTAGCCATAATCCTCAATAACTCTTCCGTTGTAGCAATGTGTAGTACAGTGTCGTCACTAACCCTCCATCCTTTAATGTCAATTTTATCAAGTCCTCCGAGTTTTTCTAGTTCTTCATGAATTTGAGTACCACTGTAACAGAATTCCCACAAACCATTCTTATAACTTAGAGCATCGCCCACTCCACTGAGAACCATAACTGCTTCGTATTTCTCGCCTAATTTGACCGTATTTTCACTAGCCATTTTTAATGTTTACTTCAGGGTATTTTCATGAACGCTTAACATGGGTTTTTGAAACGCGGAAAACACCAGGCTTACCTCAACTTATAAAAACAAAAATCTTTTCTTTGCTTTGTTTCAATATTGTTTCAAACTATTCTGTTTAGATTTAGACGAGAGCGTTGGGAGACTGGGACTGGTATTTTGAAATCCTTAATCTTTACCCGATTCCATGATCTTTAATCTGAATAACATGTTGCTTGTTGCAAAGATACGTTAAGAAATAAAAAAGCTTTTTCAGCGATAATATTCGAAAATATGGCGTTTGCATTGGTGAATTTTTACAACGAAAATACATGGGATATCATTCCATATTCTAACATCATTTTTGAGGATGAAAATATGTCGAAAGACAAAGATGAACTTAAAGGATTCAAAACGTTAGTCATGTGGGGCGATGGAAAAACAAAGGGAAACGGCAAGTCGAGGAAATTTCCTGCAGAGATAATAGAGGTTTCAGGTTAGTAGTTTTAGTCTGTTGTAGAATTTTTTGTCAAGTTTCTAAAAGCTTGTATAATTCAGTCAAAAAGCTAATTGCTAGTGCATCTAGCTCTTTCTCTTTGTTATGATTTCTTTCATGAAACATCTTTGCTTTGCTATATATCTTTAAATTTCTGCTTGAAAATGTATTTGTTTATTTCTCTGTCTTGTTTGTAGAAATAGTCATAGTTGATATGAAGGTTGCTGTTATCAATTCAACTTACTGCTTTTTTTAGGAGGGAAATACTTTCTGATAAAAAGCCTTTACTCAAATGTTGTTCTTTCGTCTACATAGCAATAGTTCAGTTACAATACTGACAATAAGGATGTGTCTCTTTCCCAGATTTTAACTTGTTTCGTCTTAAATACATGTAGTAATACATTAGGCCAAACTTTGCATAAGGTCGTTTCCTTATAGTTTCAGGCATGCTACTGCTTCCAATTGAGAATTATTATTTTTTAATAGTTGTTAAATAGTAATCCATTATTTTGTGTAAACAGATAGTAGAGATTATTTGCTCAAGACAACTACAAGACGTAGAAAAAAAGTATGTCATACAGAGACAAGTTAACGATTAATTGAACTGTTGACTAAGTTGGGCCAATTTATAGATATATTTCATATCAAAGTTATCTATAAATCAAAATAGTTACCTCGAAAACACAAGTAAATCTTTTCACCACCATGGAACGCTATAAACTACATTAGCTATTTAGCTATCATAACAGTTGTTTCATATGTGTTTTGATGGACAAAAAGTATTTATTCAAAAAACCTCAACTTTTTCAACACTTTTATTATCCAGCGTACGTACGTTGGGTGGCTATTACCCATGTATATATAACATCAATTTTCATCATATACTAGATTGTGTAACTACCAAAAAGTTACATATGCCTGTTCAAAAAGTATTTATTCAACAAAAAGCTTATTTCAACACTTTTATTATCCAGCGTACGTACGTTGGGCGGCTATTACCATGTATATATAACATCAATTTTCATCATATACTACATTGTATAACTACCAAAAAGTTACATATGACAGTTCAAAAAGTATTTATTCAACAAAAAGCTTATTTAAACACTTTTATTACCCAGCGTACGTACGTTAGGTGGCTATTACCCATCATTATTTGACTGATTAAAAAGTTTTCATACCACACACCAAAATTCCTTTACCACTATTAGCAATGTGCCCTCCCGTTTATCACCATAGAAGAAAGGTGACTCCTGCACTTGGGAACAGGATGTACGGTTACACATTATTGAAATTGTATTGTAGTCTCACCATGCTGTGTACCCAATCATCGAGAAGGAATAAGAAACCCTTTTTTTATCATGTATATTATGCCGCCTACGTACGTTGGTTAGTATACATTTTTTATAATATTTTCTTTTTCTATAAAGCAAAATCTATGGATATTATACATACAATACTTTATTTCAGAACAACATGTAAATACATCATTATTAAGAAAAAGGAAACCCAGAGGTTAGCCCTATATCAAGGGTCTCCTAGATCAAGGGTCTGCTATACATAATCGTACAGTCTTTAGTTTAGAAACAGTACACAGAGACTTTGTCGTGGTGACAAACTTAAAGATGGATTTCAAAATAGCAAATACCATGGTGAATGGTGATAATACCAATGTAATAGTTCTTAAAAGAACTGTTTTAACCAGAACACTAACCCAACCAACACTAACCCTTGGCTTTCTTTGATTTTGATTTCGTAACAACTTTTCAAGTGCCCTTTACGTAAATTGATTTTCTAATCAAAGGATTTTTAAGAGCTTGAAGTGACTGCACAACCCTGTTATACATCATCGTTGGCGTTTTCATAGTCGTGTGTAAAAATATCGCTTTACCATATTCAACATGAAGTGCGTTTTCATGGTTAATAAAACTATTCAAAAAGTCAGTAATCTTGCCGTGCTGCTGAAAGTAGTGACTCCACGTATTTTCCATTTCTGACTTCAACAGGATTTGCTCTTCCTTGGATCAGTCAAGCAAATGTCATAAATCTATAGCCTTCCGTTTAACAGTAAATGGAACTGAACAATCTTCATCAGTGGGTGCAGCTAGATATTCACACCAAAAATCATTATCAGGATCTTTGACAGCATGAAATGTTAATGCGGTATGTGAATGATTAGAATGTGATTGTTTCGCCTCGTTATAAGCTGCGATATCTTTATTGACATCCTTTGTTACTCGAGTAATTTGCTTCGAAACTCTGGATGCCAACGCTTGACCATCTGAAAAACAGAACAAACATACAGAAACATTTACAAACATACAGAGAACATTACATAGAAGGCAACATGTAAAGTAATTTACAAACATTGCAAGTTGTATGGAACATTTATGAGAAACGTATAGTTACCACATTATTTAGACTTAAGATTTAGGAGAAACCATCTTTCAGCAACATTTTTCCTCATTCGAGACAAAACACGTTTTTCTTTCCTAGACGCAACCTCGCGTTTTGCATTTTCGTACTCTGAGTCTGTATTTTGCCAGCTTGCAGAAATTGAGTTTTTCCTTTCCATGATCTTCAACTGCATTACAAATATAAGGCACGGTCTGACAAGCACCTGCCAGTTGCATATACATCTCTACTTGTACGTACGTATAAAAACAAGAAATAATTTGTTGTTCGATATTCCAACTTATTATTCACAATGTTACGACGTACATTCATAGCTTCAAAATTTTCCCAATTCATTTTTCTAAATTCACACTGTTTAAGACTTTAATATCTCTAGAAAAAAGTTTAACTTTTCGAACATACTTTTTCATCTGATTAAATCGAACCGTCAGTTCACTTGGATCAGTGCAACCATTCGATCGATGGTAAAGATCAGCGTACAAGACCAGGTATATAACGTACTTGCATTTCCAATCTTCTTCTTCTGTAAGTTGTTGAAGATTTACGTATATTTGTTAAAAAAGTTTTCTGTGGGTAAAACATTTCCACATAATGAGCATCAATAATTATGTGTGAAATCTGTTCCTTAGCTACAAGCCATTGTTTCTCAATTACTAACCAGTCTCAACTTCACGACCAAAAAAGTCGATTCGTCCTTCATCCACTCACGAATACCATCTATTGAAATCCTGTGAGCTTTAGATAATGAAAAAAAGAAAATCTACTGCTTTCATGTGAGTCGTAAATAGTTCACATCCAAAATCGGAGTCAAATATAATCACACAGCAAATACAAACATATACTCACACGGAACGCACCTGCATAACTTTTCAATATCTAATTTTGCAGTTTCTTTCACATCAACAGCTCGCTTCATCCTTGCCATCAGCAAATTGCCATAAAAAACAAAATTTAATTCATATCTGCTATTACATAATATGATGACATTTTAGCTATGTATATGTTCAAACAAAGAAAGAAAAACTAGCTATACCTAAATTAATCTTCGTTTTCTTTCCATAATGTAAAAGAGCATCACTGAGTACATCAACTCTGTGACTTGGACGCATTTCTTTAGTCATTCTGCTAAATTTGCGAATGTAAGCCCACAATCTCTCCAACATCTCACCGTCAGTTAGGCCAAATCCTTCTTAACGACGGTGACTAAATTTCACCTTTAACAAGAAAGATTTAGTAAACAATTATTGAATTTTCATCATTTATCATCTACAATACCATTAGTTATGATAGCATAAAAACCCAGGTATCACCATCTGTTTATACGTTTGAAAAATAAAAACAATAACAACTTGGCATCGTCCAACATGCCCATAGCAGTGAAAAATTGGAATTGAAAATTGAAAAATGTCAACAATCGGATAGTCCAAATTCTTTTTGTAACAAACAAAATAAAGAAAAACATGTGAAAGAATACCTTTTCAAAGGAAAAAAGTGTTGAGGGAAAGTTATTGACTAAGGAAACAGGTAACAAAGCAACTATTGTCAATTGAATAATGCCTGTAAGTGTTTCACCAACATGCATGCAACATCATACAATATGTTTATTTTGAGTGCAGGATTATCAGCATTATCTTTCTCTAATTTTTGGAGAACATAAACTGCATAGCTCAATCTATAAAATATGTAGGATATTTTTTTAAATAATGCAACCACATGTATGCAAAAAGCTTCAGCACTTGCACAAAGCATTGAAAGTAGCAAACCAACTGAAAAAAATAAATTTATACCATCAAATGCATGCATCCTAACCACCTCTTTCAAACCAAGAACATTTAGGTAAAAATAGACAAAAATGTTTGTAACAGACCTATCTCCATGTTTCAAATTTAAGAATTTTTTAGGAAATTCATGTCAACAGCCTCGTCCAAAGATTGCTGTTTCATCAAGAGCTTTGTAGTGACTCATTGATCAAAGAGCATTCCCAGCAAGAAAACCATGACATTCTTATAAATATCAATATGTAACAAACAAAAAAGTATACAAGAGTTTTATTTCCAAAAGCCCATGGCAAAAATTTATTGAAAATAAAAACTATGTGGTAGAAAATGAAAAAAAATCAAATAATAAAATGATGAAGGATAAAATCATGCAATGTATTTGAGTTCAATGATGCAGTCAAAAAGGTGTTTGAGATAGCATTGCTAATGTTCTTTTTCCTAATTTTTCTTGTTAAACAAGTAATACAAATATACTCACTTTGGTACAAAGTTTCACAGCTCAACATGTTTAGTTTATGTCTGTAAATTCTAAAGAAAACAATGACACAAAGAAAGCAATTATGCACTCTTAAACAAACGACATAAACAAAATACAGTGCAATATACTAATACTTGAGGAAAAATCCTTTCCCATCATAAACTTTAGCATTTTGATTTTCTCCAATTAAATACATCTCTTAAGATGAGATTCTTAGGCTATAAAACTTTCTACTAGACTACTGCAACTCTTAGACTACTGCAACTTTCCCAGCAATTCATACCTAGTACAGCAGTGTAATAAATCATTGAACTACATGCAGTTACCTATATTCTTCAAAAGCATCTATAATGACAGGATACCTTTTTTGTGTTGCATAAGAAGGGAATATGTGGTTATGATTGGAACACGATAACTTTGTTCTTGTTCCAATACCATGATATTTCAATGTCGATCAGAACATTAAAGCGAAGGCTTCAGTCATACGGCTTGCAAAAAGTGGACCAAGCTGTCTCAGTAGACACCGTTCGGCAAATCATTGAGAACGAAATTAAGGGATCATCATCGACTCTTGGTTACAGGGGTATGTGGAATAAGTTAAGAACAAGTTACAATATAACAGTTCCTCGAGACACAGTTATGAGAATCCTTAAAAAGAAGTCGACCCAGAAGCATCGGCACTCCGTGAAGGTAGAAAGTTGCTTCCGCGAACTTACGCATCTGATGGACCAAATGCAACCTGGCATGTAGATGGATACGATAAGCTGAAGCCCTACGGTTTACCATTCACGGTTGTGTTGACGGGTTTTCTTGACGAATAATATGGCTAAAAGTTTGCAAAAGCAATAACAGTCCAGTTATTCCAGCTACTTTTTTTTACGGTCAGTGGAAGAATTTAAGTTTTGCTCCATCCTAGTACAGACCAGTGAACTCGACATTTGAATAACTGGAATGATAACCGAAGCCAAAAATTGAAGCCAAAAAAATATTTGTCGTCATCATTCGTCATCACACGTCAGGCTCTAATCTCTCGCGTGTTCATTTTAATTTTTTTGAATCATTTGTCCCTTGATAATGGTAGAGTTCGGATCTTGATCAGAGCGTAAAAATAACGAAATTTTTGGAATGAAAAGGTTCACGGAAAGTGAATCAAAGTGATAAATCGAGAAGCAGGGTGAGGTGAACTTAGTCGATCTGCTTTTACGCTGCGGTTTTCCTTTAAAACATATCAAAGTCTTTAAGGATATTCAATTGCTGATATCGAGATGACAACCATTTAGTATTTCAAGCACTATCAAAATTGATGAGAAATACAATCGCTCTGTAAAAAGTAAAAATGCGAGTTATAGACTCAATAGTTTTTATGAAACTAGATATTCAAGTTTCTTTTTTCTTCGGAAAAACATATCTTTAAATCCACTGAAATGACAAAAAAAAGACAAACACTGTCCGACACCGTTTGAAAATTTACCTTCCGATGTAAGAAAAATTTTTGCTTGACAATTTGATCGTCATATTTTCTTATTGTATTGTCTTATTAGCATACAGTGTAATTTTCAGTTGGTTTTTCCTCGTTACAAGTTGTAAGTTACAACGAACTCACTGTAGTAAAGTTTCAGCTGTAAAAAATAACCTTTTGCGAAGAGTTGGCCTCGTTTGTTGTTTGTCGTGATGTTGTTTATATGTTTATGCTTTTGCAATTTGTATTCAAATTTATACTGGCCGTGTATGTTTTGGTACTCAGGGGAATGAAACTGACGTACAAACCGCGTGAATATTCGACTTTGAAGGACTGGAACTGACGTACAAACCGCGCAAGAGACTAGGACTTTGGCTTCAATTTATATCTATAAAATGTATTGTAGTTATCATTCCAGATCATTGAACTAAATATAACTGGAAGGCTACCTTCTGATATATCGGTAACACACGAAATGAAGCCAAAATTTTGCGTGATCTGACCTCCAGACACGCGTTTCTGGTAGTCAAATCACGCGAGTTCGGCCTCGCGATGCGTGATTTGAAGGAGTGAGTAAAGAGTCTGAACGAATAAACTACATGTTTTGGCCAAGCTTTAGAAAGGAAAATTACTGAATTTATTTAGTTTTGCTGCGTTTTCTTTTGATATTAATACAGGAAATTTAAGTTTCTTGCCGACCAAATAATTTTTACCCAGAAGGCTTACCGATGGCAAAGGATTGTGCTCGGATATTGGCGAAAACTTTCAAATGTAAAATCCCAATGGGTAAGTGTTTATTCATTGTATTCATAAAGTGTTTACACATTAAATTTATTCATTGTTAAACAAGATTAGCTTATTGAGTCGGTGCCTGTCGCTTGTTTTGCCTTTATTTACGATCTCCCTCGTATATTTTTTACCGTAGTTGAAAAGACGCAGTGTGAAATATTTGTCTGCGATATGCTTTGTCAGTTGAGTGCTGTGATCGTCTTCGATAACAGCCTCGTTAACACCATCTTCGTGATCTCTGAATAGAGGAAAGGTCGATTCCAGATTAAAATGTTGGCAAACTGCAATAATCATACTGTTCTTCAACTTTGCCCTGTTACTAATATGCTGATTGTCGTTGCCTGTCACCGTTGCTTTGAAAACGTGTTCGCAGAACTCTATACAACGATACACCGCTGTGGATGGAATCTGTAAACCACCGTTGTTCACGAAGTTGACGAAAGCTGACGCTTTTCCAGCTTCATGATATTTTGTGGCAGTATAATCATGGTCATCTACGGATAACGATTTTGGTAAAGGACAAAGGCATCGTTTGCATTCTGGGCAAGATAAATTGTTGACTAACTTCGAAACTATGTATCCTGCAATATAAAATATAACGTTCGAAATAAATTCGCTGTTGCCTTCTTGGAGATGTTGCACCATTGCATTAATTTTATTGTCAGTGTCTTGGGCAGCAGTTTCTTGTGACTGATTATGTAATGTGGGTGAATGTTTTCTTGTACGAAAAAGTGGTATCAGGTTGTTGCAGCCAGTAAAGTCCAAACAGTTTGCATTTTTTGATGCAGTAATGGCATTTCTCATCAACATTTTTCGAAGGGCATACTTCATTTGGAGACTGTTGGGGTTGTTGTTCCATCCACCTCTTGAGCGAATGCAGGAAAACAGGAGTTCAATATGGTCCTGTGAATATTTGTAGGTTAAGAGATACTTGAATGGATTGATGGATGAAGAGAGCATCTGTGTTGCCATTGAAATAGTGGATTTGATGCAGGTAACAAACCCAATTACAAATGTTTTGCGCTGAGATGTACAAATTGGTTGAGAGGAAGCTGTGTTGGTTTTTAATGATAGTAAATATTCTGCTGATGATGATAACACTTCTTGCCATGTTTCCTGACTTGAAAGCCGAAGAGGTGCCTTAAAACCCTTACCCAGTGGATTCCGGAATTAAGGATGTCAAAAGTCGGTCGATAATGCGAATAAATGTCACTGTCCCATTACTGCCAGAGAAATTTGGTTGTTTAGCGGATTTGTCTAAAAACTCAATAGCATTTGCCACAGAGGAGCTCAATGTTTGTGCAGCAAGTCGCACATTCATTTTGTGTTTGTGAAAGTTAAGGTGATTACTCGTAAGTTTGTTTGTTAGGTTTAATCCTTCTTCCATTTGTAGGTTTTGAAGTTGTTCTATGTAACTCCACTTTATAATGTTTTCCTTGCCATCCTTAAAAGAACCAAGTTGGGCCAGTGCATTGCGTGCAAGCTTTAACATATGGCAAGGGTCAAAATTACAAACACATCTTCGCCAGTAGTTGGATGGGTAAATGAAGACCGCATTTCATCATATGTACCGTTAAAGTTGCAACCAAGACTTTCAAATGTATGAAGATTTACAGCAGTACCATCAGCTGTTACAGACCATACCTTTAAACCTGCCTTTGATGCCTTTTCAAGACATTGTATTACCAATGATGCTTGGTCTTTACCATTGATTTTGTCAACCAAAAGTACCCAACGGGCATTTCCAATGACTTCTGGTGCCAACTAATAAAAATACTAGTGCCTCAGAAGCCAATTTCTCTGTTTTATGATTAGGGAGTGTATCTCCAAGATTAACAAACCCTGAATACTGGTCATCTTCTGGATTCCATATTGTTTGTTTTCGTATTGACATTGCATCAATAACCAAACAGCAGTCTCTGGAATTTGGGGAAGCAGCAACTTCATTTGATAGTGATTGGAATGCATCTTTAATGAAACCATGGACGCAGACCATTTTTTCATCAAAGATGGATTGGGTAGTGGAACAATGGATCGAACATATTTATAAGCTTTTGGAGAATAAAAATATAAAGTAAGTGCAAATTCTTTGATTTCATCAGAGTATCTTCTGCCTGAACGAGGACATTTTAAATTATCTCTAATATTGTATAAAAATCCCAACTGAGTATCATTGAAAGTGGACAAAAGACTTTCTGCCTCTTTTGAATTGATCACCAACTTATCTTTTAAAATCTTGACAACTTCACCCATGGTTTCAACCTTTTGTTTTGTGCGTCTCAGTTGTTGTTGCAAGTTTCGAATTTTTTGTTGAAGCTTATTTTTAAACAAATCTCTTTTTTCTTCTGTAGATGTTTTGGAGATTTTTTTGGGTGGAGAAGTTTCATCAACGGAATCAGAGGTAGCTGCAAAAGGTCTTTTATTTGAAAGCTCGAGTCTATTCAGCAGTGCGTTTGAGTGGGTTGTAGAAGTTGAAACATTTTGAACATGCAAGCTATTGGACATGGATGGTATGGCATACTTTTTTAGTCGGCATTTGCCATTTTGTGAGGGGGGGACAATGTAGTCAGTTAGTTGAAAATGGTCACTGCATATACGATGTGCACTTTTTGCTGTCCATGGTACTTCAAGATGGTTTACTTGTTGAACAAAATGCTCCCATAATTTTATGGCTGCCTTGTTTTTCATGGGAAATCTGTAATACATATAAATATTCATGATCTAGTATTTTAAATATTATACTTCCAGTAATTTCACTACAAATCCTTGTCCAGTTAAATAAAGTTGTAAGCCCTGTACTAACAATATGATACCAGTTATATCTACTTTACACTTTTACTGTGAAAAGTATTATTTTATTGCAATTGTGACCAGCGAAACAAATAAATACTGTATATGACTAAACTGTCAAAATATAGAATTTATATATGTTAGTATTTAACTGAATTTTATTAAAATTTCATTTTTGTTGAAGCATGTTTAATCTTTCCAAATTGCAGTTTTGTTTGATGTCATTTTTCAACTTATGTATTGGAATTTTACCTGTGAAAAGCAACAGTTTCTGCACCTATGTGGTGAGAAATAGCCCTGTTCCTGCACCCAATTATCACACATGTAAGTGGCATGTTTACTGAACAATCCTGAATACTTATCTTTGTCCTAAAGACGACAATTATGCAGTGAAAAATAACTTTTGTTTGCAAAATCAAGGAAATATACGCTCTAACGTTAAAAAAAGGACTGGGGTGAGAAGAAGCTATACTTGTTTTTCTTCGTAAATATTACTTTAAAACATAATTTTGCTAACGTTCTGTTATGTTAATGTCATTATTGGTTTAACGTTTTTTAAGAAATTTTTAAAACAATACCATGCAAATTTGCAAGATGTCAAAATCGCATTTGTCGAGGCTTGTTAAGTTTGTTTTTTTTTTCAAAAAAGGCACGATTGCTTGATTGATCTATTACCGTAATCAAACTTACTATAAATGACCTGGAAAATTTACATTTTTTGCAATTTACTTCCAGTTTTTTTTCATAGTTTTTGCAAAATCCGCTGTCAAAATGACTAAAACACTGACATATTTTGTTTTGGTCGTGTTTATCACAAGCGTGGAAAGACTGGGAACGATACTGTCGACTTAGGCTTCAAATTTCCGGGCGAAGGTAGCCTTCCAGTTATATTTTGTTCAATGTTCCAGATATATATATATGGAGTTCACTGGTACAGACCATTGAGCTCTAAAAGACCTGGAGGGGCAAAGGGGCCTGGACCCCGTGGTCAAAAACATGGCGGTAATGGCGGATTTTGGTTGTCAAAACTTCCACTTTGAGAAAAATTTTTAACATTCGCTCCCTCCCGAATGCGGATCTCTATTCCTGCGTATATAAAAACAACCAGCGAAAACAACCACGATACCGTAAGCATAAAATTTTGAAAATAATGCTTCAGGTTTTTGTGAAATAGACACACACATTTAAATGAGGTAAATCTACTGTAAAATAACGTATATTTTGTCAAGTAATGCTTTAGCTATATTAGAAATAAATATCAAACGGCATTCTTTACACTGTCAATGTGTTGTTAAGCTTAATGCATAATCCCATGCGCATTACTTGTGTTTTTGACTGTTTGTTAACAGCTTGGTGCAACTGTCTTTCTTGAATAGATGGGTAAATCTTAGTTAAAATGTCCAAAAGGAGTTAGAAAAGTTAGCTTACCTACGACTTAAGTCGACTGGAAATATATTATAAGTAGGTATGTAATTTTTTGAGTTTTTTTGGTAGAATTGATTCTGGGTGTCTTATAAAGTATTATGATATTCTGATAAATCTACTGAGAACTTATGAAGAAAATATCTTGAACTAGGAGAGCAAAAGAACGAAATTCAGAAATTCTATAATCATGTTGCTGGTTCTGTTTTGAGGCAAGATATTAGAAGCTGGATTGTCATTGACAACCATGGATCTACTACTGAACAGAACTACATTAATTTCCCATTGAAAATACGATTTCATAAATTAAAGTGCATTGGTTTCTCTGACATAACACTTTTCTTATTGCTGCATGAAGGCAAATCTGTTTAAATAATTATAATGTAGGTGAAGATATTTAGCATGTTGTATAATTGTTATTGTACAGTCATTATTTATAATATTATGGCCTTGTGTAATGTATGTCAAGAAGAACTTATTAATTCTCAAAAATGCTAACCTTCTTGCACTACTTTTCTCTTGTGTCCTTACAAATTGCAGTTACCTATACTAATTTTTTCTAGGTTCAAACAACTTGACAAACTTTTGAATTTTACATTATGCCTTTGAATTTTTGTTTTCATCTTTTGATAAAAATATCAGTGAATGACTTAAAAATCAAGTTTATATAAAACAGTATTTTGTACAAAGAAACTATACATAATTGGAAAAGTCTCATGTTGAAAACAGATGTCGCTTCTTTTACTAGATTGCTACTCTTATTCTTTTAAATGATATCATAATTCTTCAAGACATAAAAAGTTTTTTGCCATCAATTTTTGCTTGTTCCACATTCAACTTCATTGCAACCAATGCATCTTATGTGAATTTTTAATCACCTGGAATTGAAAAATGTATGGATTTTGTCAGATGATGCAGTACTATATTTAAGGTTACATGTCATCATAATAAGCTTATCTTGAGCAAATATTTCAAGGTAGGAGCATAATTTGGCACATTATTGAACAAAGTAGTTTTTATCTTATTTCTTATGTACTAACCTGTTTACTACAACAAACAGTTCATTTACAGAAACACCAGATGGCATTTATAAAACTTTTAGCAAAAAGCAAACCTTAACACACCATCATCAAGATTGTCCATAATCTGTCAAATTGTCCAGGCTAGCTGTTTAATACAGGTATTTTTTATTGTACGACATGTACCAAAGAGCTCATTAATTAATCCTGCACTGCATTTGATTTCAATACAGCTCTGATCTTAATATTTGCTTCATATTTTCAGAAAAATATCATGAAAAAATCCTCCATTTCAACTCAGTTGAAACAAGGAGTTTTAAGATATGCATATCTCGATAAGAACTGATTGCTTTGCCTCGTCTAGCAATCGATTAAGTAAAGAACAAATAAGACTGGATAAACATAACTTAAATTATAACTTAGGAGTAAAAGCATTCACAAAATATATGCCATCACACTTCAAGTATTGACTTAAAACAAAAACTGAACACTTTAAATAGTACACAATCTTACGTTGCTTACCGGTGTCATGAAATGTTTCCTTTTCTGGCATTACTTCAGCATCCGTATACCAAACAGGTTTGCAGCATGTTTTAAAGATAAAATTTCTAAAGTTTTTGTGCTTGGCATTGATATTTTATATAATCGCAATTGTGGTTGTCAAATCCGGGTGGGCGAAAAAAATTTCATTTTATGAGCCCGCGTCTTTCCGCTGACTTTGACAACCAAAATCCGCCATGTTTTTGACCACGCGGCCGCGCGCTGATAATTTATAGTAATTTTGATGACGTTTCCCCTCCAGGTCTTATAGAACTCAATGGTACAGACAGATTGTGGAACAGAGAATACTATTTTGGCAGCGATGCAATGTAGCCTTGTTGGTGGTGAGCAAGGGCATCGTTATTCATCATCTCATGCTAATCAGTGGATTGAGAACTGGTGGTCTCACTGTAGAAGAGGATTTTCTGGATCGTTTATCAATCATTTTAAACATCTTGTTCATGAAGGAAAGCTTGCATTGGGAAATCACTTGCAGATGAAATGTGTTTGGTTTGTTTATTCAGAGTTTTGCACTCAGAACTTAACAAGGTAAAGCAAGAATGGAACATACATTGCAAAGGGCATTCCAGAGACAGCTCGATTTCGGGTGTACCTGATGAATTTTTTTTTCTGCCTGAAAGCACTGGACATAGGAAATGAACAATCACTGTTTCTGATAACAATGTTTTTGGTATATTGAACCAGAGAGACGTATACACAGAATCAGAATTTGCAATGGATGAAAATGATATAGAATTGATGGATTACTTCAGGTATGTCATCAGAAAAGAAAACTTAGAACATCCACCCTGTGATTGAAATCATGACAAAAATATGTATTTAAGGATAATACAGGTAGAAAATGCCTGATTTGACATTGTGTGAAATCCAGTAATCTTTGCTTTGCTTTAATAAAACTTTATATGTAAATGTAGTCATCTTGTCTTAACACAACTTCTCATTAGAAGTGGCTTCCGGGTGTTTTTTCCAAGAGGTTCTTTTGTATAAACTTAAAAATCAAATTTTATGTAATAAACTCTGCAAAACGAATTTATCTATTGTTGAGCTGCAATTTAATTTTATGAAAAACTTCTCAAAGCACACTTCAAGCACAACTTAACAAACATTGTTGGTTCTTCCAAATCAGACAAATAACCAGACATTCTGTACTAAAGATATATAAGCATAGCAGTAGAAAAAACACCCAGTTAGCCACAATAAGTAACATAAAAAACTATGATTAACTTATCTGCCTTGTTTCATTACAAAGTAGGGTGTTTTTTTGTTTGACATAATGTCCGTTAACATCTAACAAATTCTATTGAGGAGGATAGTACAAGCACCAACAGAGAATGTGGTGGATTCTCAGTGAGATTGTAGAAGGATTAGTTCATGTTCATTCACAGGTAGGGATATATTTTGGTCTTTGGATACATTGAAAAGCTCGTTTTGGACCTGTAAGTTCCTTTTCATTGAATAACAGTGTCAAAAAGAAAGTTTTACCCTTCTCGAAATATGTATTTGTTAATATAATGATAGGTTTGCTTGAAAACTACCACTCAAAGCTTCCGCTTGAAAATATTAAGATCATAAGAAAAAACAAGCATTAAAGTGACGAAGAATTTATAGCTACTGTTTTTTAATGTCATATACTTTGTATAGATGTCTATATCCGTAGAGCCTTAACCAATGCTTAGCACAGCAGCTTCTTGGACATCTTTTTATCTCTCCAAATCCCATGTCGTACGGTTTAGCAAATAACATCACTTCAGATAAGCTTGACGCTGAAAAAGATCAAGGGAGAAATCAAAATAGCTGTTATGATGGAGATGAGTATCCTTATTTGATGCGTATTCCTTTCGGCTACGCTGCGAGAAATTCAAGAGTTCAAAATGAATTTGAGGTGTTGCAAATGCTTAAAAAAAGGAGGGTTTGCTTCAGTTGTCAAGGTGACTTTTTATTACATACAACATTGTTTAAATGGACTGTAATTTGGTCATGTGAAGGAAATTTTATACGTGATTTGGAAATGCTTTATATACGCTTAGGTATGTAATGAATTGGACGGCTGTCTCTTAGCTTTGCAATCAAAAGAATTCCTTTGAATCCGAAAAGTGTGCTGTTTAATGGCAAAATTACTCGAGGAGAGAAGTTACTTTCTAGATTGAATCATGAAAATATTATAAGGTAAAAAAAATTTAGTATCCAAAATGATTAGAAATTTTATAACATAATGGTTCAAAGCGAGGCTCAATTTAGACGACACAAATTGCTTGGCTTATTAAATGTTATCTTTGTAGACACTAGTATAACAAAGTAGTAATCCCTTTTTTCCATGAAGCCCATGGATGCATTCGTTGCGTTTTTCATGAGAGAGTCATATTTTATAAGGAAGCTCTCGTTCATCACGAGAGAGTTATGAGAAAGTTACATTGCAAAAGGTAATGAGTAAAAAACGTATAAACATGCTTAGAGTTGGCTTAAATTATAAGTGAAAAAGGGAGAAGTTGTTTGAACATGTGCAGTATCCTTGGATGTTGTAGTTTTTTTTATGAGAAGAGTTCTTGTAAAGAAAAAAAGACAAATTTTGGAACCAAAAAACCCCGTTTTCGGTCCATGTTTCCGGAGACCCCGAGATAGTGTAGCACTAGAGCGTCTCACATTAATTAAGGAAACCAGATAATTCTGTCTGCTACAAAGTCGATGGATGGTTTGCTTGTGATATTTAAGAAACAGTAAATGAGAGAGTTAAATCAGAAAAATATAAACCAATAAAAATTGTATGAAACATGTTTAAGGTTGTCTTAAATTATAAGTGTCAGAAAAAGGCACGGTGTCAGAAGAAAGTTAATTGAAACATTGCTTGGTTTATTTTATGAGAAAAACTCTTGTTAAGAGAAGAAAAAGATAAAATTCGAAAGCAAAAAACCCCGTTTTCGGTCCATGCTTCCCGATACCTTCTTAAGCGTAAGGTACTAGGACGCCGCATGTTAACGTTTCGGTTGGAGGTTTTGGCCCCTCCACGCTATCCTACTTGGGAGATGCAAAAGCAAGCTTCCGCCCATCACACCCCGAGATCGCCTGCGATAGGCTTTGCTCTGGTTACGCAGGGAGAGTGCGGTCGCGACCGAAGTCTGGGCCCCTAAGCCACTGCATACCTAATCGCACCCAACTTCCACTGCTAGTTGACATCTACTAGTTGAAGTTTTCAGCTTTGTATATATATACAAAAATTCAAAGGTTTGCAAAAGTTGTGGTATCATTAAAGTCACTACTGCGCATGCCCAGATTATTTCTTTCATAATTTGCGACTAAGTTATCTAATTGCCGCAAATGTAGTGCAAGTACATATAGTTAGTCATTGCCATGGCTATGAACAATTAGTCGAATGGACTACGCATGCTGGAGCGCATGCCCAGATGATTTCCAAATTAAATTGTTACTAAGCATGCTGTTTACCTAAAAATCGGTGCTAGTAGATGCAGTTGGTCGTTGCTATGACCATGAACTTGGACAACTGGTCAAGTGGACTGCGCATGCGCAGAAAATTTTTCAGTAAATTTGGAACTGAGCGAGCTAATTACTCTACAATCAGTATTAGTACATACAATTGGTCGTTGCCATGACCATGAACTCGGAGCATTGGTGCAGTTGACTGCGCATGCTCAGATTAATTCTCAATTAAGTTTGTAATGAAGCGAGCTCTTAAAATTATCGTCCATATATTCTTTATAAACTTTAACCAACAGAATTATTGCTATGGTATTTTAAATCTATGATGAGGTGCTATAATGTTGTATTCTGACTTAACCTTGATCTCCCACTGTGAAAAAAGTATCAAATATTTTTGTCGTTTATTAACATATTTTCTTATTTAATTTAGGTTCATAAAACCATCTTTTATTGCTACAAACACTTTATCTGACATCATTGAGAAATGGCAAACTTGTGATTCAAATATGGACAACTTGTGTAAAGCTTAAGGTACCAAACACTTGTCTTTCATATCTGTGCATGCAAAGCAAAAAAAAGACTTTCTTTGGTGAACTTATTTGAATTGCACTTTGTTTAAATACTGATGTGTGTTACATGTTTGCCTTAAACAATTTTAACAACTTACAAGACATTTTAAGTCCAATAACTATGTATTTTTCCTGTTAAGATATACGATTTGTCTTATCAGAATATGCTATAAAGATATTAAACTGTCCGAGGTGCCTTAGAATTTGTCAATAATTTTTCTGTACGTTTGATAATGCTATCGAACAAATTGACAAATCATCTAAATGTAGAACATTTGAGAAATATTTCTTACGAAAGCACAAGCAATATTACTGAAATTTCTAAACTGTCAACGGCGGTACTGTCGAAACAGGGAATTTATGTGGATGGCTGTTTATCAGACAATATTTCGAGCTGTTACCGATGGTTTTTACATACACGCACCTATAAAATCCTCGCTATATTTAGTCAGTTTATATATTGGATTAATCAAAAATAAAACGTACCCTAGCGTTTGTGAGTAATTCGTAGCTAAGATGTGATTTGTATGATTTCCGAAATATTTTCTTGGAGAAAGATAACAAACTTAACAGACATGATAGTAATATATCTGCGCTTGCCCAGATACAAAAGCACAACGGAAGAAAGCATGCATATGTCACGTCATTCGTGTCACGTGTCTAAAGATATAAATATTACAACTAATCAATTTCTTTTAACACTCCCATTTAATAGTCATATCATTTCAATAAAACTAAAAAATCATTATAATACAAACTGAAATTCTATGATTGTTTTTTGACTTTAATTACTCGCAATAGTTTATGAAAGTTTTAAAAGTAAACTTTCGAGATTCTTTCGGTCTTTGTATCACTTAACATATTCTTTGTTCATTAATACTTGACAGTTATGATGTTATTTTTGAATTGTTCTCACACATAATGATTTAACATATTATTTGTTTATAAGATTTCTGGTGAGCTTTATTATTCATTCGTTAAATTCATATAAAGTAGAAAAACAATCTTGTTTTCTCAGAACATTGCCAGTAGTCTTCGTTGTCTAACCACTTATTGACTATCTATTATTCATTCGTTGTCTTCATGTAAAGTAGTAAAACAATCTTGTTTTTTTAGAACATTGCCAGGTTGCTATGTTGTATAAAGTTGCTTTGAAATTTATTGTTTTTAGCAAATTATCATATGCATAATGCATTCATGAATATTTCCTCCCGCCAAATATCGTTCTGGCGTCACACTGCAACTGTAATTATGTCGGCTTTTAGTTGTTAAAGCAATTTTCCATTGAATCATTTGTTCTTACCGTCATGGTATTGAATATTAACTAATGTTTGCAAAAAGAAATAATGAATGAACGTTTACCTAAATGTTACAACATTTACTTGCTCTGAAATCTAATAAATTTGGCAGCCAAAATAACAACACTGTAATGAGTACATAAGTAAGATTTAAGTCACAAAATTTCCTAAAAAGTTGTGAACTTCTTCCAAGATGCCTTAGAATTTGTCAATAATTTTTCTGTACGTTTCATAATGCTATCGAACAAACTGAAAAATCATCTAAATATAGAACTTACCATTTGAGAAATATGCCTTACGAAAACACAAGCAATATGATTGAAATTTCTAAACTGTCAACGAAAGTATTGTCGAAACAACGAATTTATGTGGATTGCTGTTTTTCAGACAATATTTTTAGCTGTTACCGTTGGTTTTTACATACATACACCTATAAGATCCTCGCTATATTTAGTCAGTTTATAAATGATTATTTGCTTTTCGATTTATCTCTATTGTTCTTGTAAAAATCTCAATTGTTTTTATTGATGCTACTGATTTTTGGTTTGATTTTTCAATGTGACATTGGTCATTACTATGCAATGAATACGAATACACTAAATTTGCCATCTGTCTCAAACAAACCATGTGGTTGTGTGCACAGAGGTACAGTTTTCACAACTTGTGGTGTTGACTTTCAAAGAACGAAAGCCGTAATTGTCTTTTGATCAAAATTTTTACGACTTCCTGCGATATTTCTAGCTGTTGAGAAACTTCATGGCAAAGAGAATGCCTTTAAATCTTCTCCTAAACAAGGTATAGGACTGCAAGATTCAATGAATACTTGGAAAAAGTTGAAGTCTACTTTCTAAATGTATTATCGTGTCATTAATTTTACCCTACCACATCATGTTTCGTTATTTTGCATAACGACATTAAAACGCAAAATATCTGAAAATTCTTATGAATTTTTTATTTAAACGCATTGAAGGATTAGTTATTGTCTTTATGAAAGGTTACAAGCTCCTAAAGGGGCCAGTCAAAATAGAAAATTTTAGTCATGACGTCAATTGAAGAAATGTTAACATATTTAAATTCGTGTGTTTTAACTTCAACTTCAACGGAAAATTAGTCACTTTAACTTTGTAGAAAGAAAGATAAATTCTGTTTTTTTACTGAGGAAGTAAGTAGGAGTTATTTGGAATAATCAACTAGTTTTAGTGTTGTCCTCGAATTCCAAATATAAAAGCTTTCACTGTAAAATGCTTTGATCACGATATTAAGCCTTTAATCGTTTGAAATTTCTTGTTGCATCGTTCAAACTCAACTGACTAAAGCTATTCGTGCAATGTAGGTAAGTGTTCTACCATTTGGATAGTATAGCAGAAAACATATTACAATTTTCTTATTCTCAATATATCTGATTAAGAATTTAAAAACGCAAACTATCGTCTTATGTAGAGTTATTCATCATGAGATCTCATACATATGTTTGTATTTTCTTATATTGTAGATCCCATATGAATGGAGTTGTGAAAGTCCCTTTATCTCCTGTGTCACTCACTTCGATTACTCTTACTAGTTTGTCATTACTTATGTGTCATGGTGATTCATGGCGAAGAATGTTTATCTGTAGTTTCGTTTCATTCTTGATGTCAGTTGTTTGTTTATATAATGATGATGGGCCCCATTGTTATATGAACCTACCTAAAGGTGGTCAACTGATACTCACAGAAGATCAACTCTGCACTAAGCATTCTTTGAGTGATAATATAACTGGAGTATTCAAGTGGTCCCTTTGCCTTCGCACGAAGTTACCATAAAAGTGCATTGTAAATAGTATTCGATCGAAATGGCGGTTCATGATATAGGAGCTACTTTATTGGTTAATGATGTCGGTTACTTCGTGTATGAAATGGTATAAACAAATTGAATGGACATCGCATAATGGCATATGTAGGTATGAACATTAACATTGAAGTGATTGGACTATTCTACAAAGATGAAAAACAAGCGAATGGAAAAACACGATCCATGTCTTGTGGTACGTAAGTTTAGTAGATAAGTGCTGCATGATTAACTGCATGAGAAATTTAAAAAAGGATCCTGATGGTCTATTTTTATAATTTGAACCTTAATTATGAAAAACACCCAAATTAGGAAAAAATGTCAATAAAAAATGTCACTTGCTTTGAGAAAATAGCTGGCTTTCACTTGCTACTTTTTCTAATTACATCAAACGTTTATAAAGAAAATTGCTGTGCTGCCAGTAGGGTTCATTGAATTCTAAAATAAAAATGTTACAACAAATTTCTATGATATACACGTAAAAACTGTGGGGTGAAAAAAAAAGGAGAAGACCTACAAATTCACCTGAATCAGACTGACCACGAAAGCGTTTGGAAATCAGGTATTAAAGTTTTGTTCTTTTCAACATATTTAAGTTTTGTTTTTGATCACTCATTATGCTGACATTTATAACGTGTTTTTTATAGAGTAGCGCTATGTTTTTAGACATACTAACTGGACTATGAATGTACCGAGCAAGTCAGACAGAAGCACTCTGAAGCAAGCGTCTTTACTGAAAGATTCACACTTGCGACTTAAGCTATGCATAATGTTCACCAGTATAGCACATTTTCAAATTCAATCGTTAAAAATTTCCGTAAAATTAAGTTTTCACAATTGTTAAGTATTCTGACAAAACACACGAGTGAAAGCCAGCTATTAATGAAGGTCTTGAATAAAGCAATATAGAAATTTTAAAGCTAATAAAGTCTGATAGACATCAAAAATTATTTTTGTGCAAGTCAGGACGTCACTATGGTCATTTCATTTTTCATTGTTATAGGCAGGTGAATGGTCAGGTCGTACAGACTGAATAATTTTTTACATGATTTATATATGGGCTGCTGTTAGTTTTCATTTTTCATCTATTTATTAAAATTTCTGTTAGTACTCTGCGCTCTTTCATTTTTTGTTCTCTACCTAAATTTGCGTTTCTTTTGTTCCAGCATAAAATATTCACTGTGTTTAATAGGATAGTCAGCCCACTTTTTTGTCGCTCTGTAAATTTAAATTTTTTATATGAACAACGTACGATCCGACTACGCTGAATGTTACAGTAGATCATCGCGATCATTAAAAAACAACAAAAATATGAAACTTCTTAAAACTAAAAAAATTTGAGGAAATTTTTCTAAATTTTCGATCATTTCTTTTATTGGAGGGTTTTTTACCAGATCCACCGGTTTTCCCTCCCATTTCGTTTTGTATTGAAGAAAAAAACAGTGTCCACATTTGGGGCCAAGCAAAGCCGTTTGTCATAACATTATTTATCGTAGTTGTCATGAATATTCACGTTTTTTTTTTCAGTTCTTGGCGTTGGTTTTTTTCTCTCAAAACACTGCAATTTAACAAAATAGGTACGCTATGCGTACATATTGGTACCCTGCAAGTATACATCTACTGAAAGAAGGAGATGTGATTAACATAGTTAAAATGAAATTATATATTTAATATTACTTACGTCAAACTTGTTCAAGATTTGAAAACGTTCTTTACTCATATGACCTGGCACAAGCCAAATTTTCAAAAACTTCCTTAGTTCTCACCTGAAATATGAGTCATGTTTTAACCCTATTTGCCTGAATATAATTTTTATTTTGCATAAAATGGTTATTATTTCCAGAAATGTTTTTGTCAGATAAACCATTGGAAGCTCAACTAACTATTTCCACTCAAGGTTTATGCATATCTTGTACGCTGATGACTTTGG